AGCGCCGACGGCAGTGATATATGTGCCGGTGACGAATATTAACTGTGCGTTGACCTCACAGCTTGGATGGTGATGCACATTGGCATCTATGAGAGCTTTCTTGGCTGCCTCAAATGCCGAAAGCGCTGCAGCCGAAATATGGAAGAATTTGGCTACAGGAATGTTTTCCATATACACGAACATGAAGAGAGTGTCCAGTATGAGTTTGTCAACGAAACGCCGAAATTTTTGGGTCGCTCTACGCAAGCCAAAATGCATGCGAAAGAACTCGAAAAGGTCGAAAAAGCGTCGGGAAGGCGGTTTTTGGGATATCCTCCTTTCATGATCGGTGTGTAGTTATATGTTCTAACGCGTTCGATCTTGGAGAAAATGGTCTTTTCCGACAGCATGTGCGAAAAGTTGTGAGTATGGAGTATCGGGTACCTGTGCAGGAACCGTGGCTCTGTTCAAGGCTGATGGTCTCCAAACATCGGGAGATTTCCTGCGCACCATGTGCAATGGAGAGGTCCATGGTTGGACGAAGGTCAAGTTATCCCGAAGCTTCTCAGGGTAAATTCGGCGCAGATGAGCACGGGTGTGTCGGCCAGTTGTCACAATATGATATCGAAATGCGCGCTGAACCCGCTTGGTGAACTGAACTGGCTTAGCAAGGGATGGATTGTCCTACAAGGTGTGAAAAAGGCCGACCTTGGGATAGCAAAATGGATGCCAGCTGAAGGTTTGAGTGAAGCAGCACAGACAGTGAAGAGCTTTCTAGTAAAATCGATCAATGTACGATGTTTGCGATCGACAGCAAGACCAAAATGCGACAGGCAGTCGGCTCCAATGATAGGCAACTGGATGTCAGCCTGGATAAAGAACTGTTGGAAATGGCGGCGAAGTCCAAGGTGTAGAATCAGGGACCGTTGACCATACGCGTTGATTATGGTGCTATTAGCGGCCTGCAGTGAAAACTGCGAAGGCTGCAGGTGATGACGCCTAAGAGATGGGATAACACTAACCACGGCACCAATGTCGATCAGAAAACGGAGTCTCGTTGACTTGTCGGTACGGTAAAATGGCGACCCGGTCGCGACTGGCCAGTCGAAGTTATCGCCATTGCTTGATGGGGTAGTTGTTTCCCGAATGTAGTAGTTGCTCGTAGTTGCAAGGTGGAATGCACTTTCGGGCCACATGTACGCTTCTGCCAGCAAAGAGCTTGTGATAGCCGATCTCGTGATTGAGAACGGCATCATCAGCTTAGCTGTTTACGACGCGGCTGAAGACTATTAATAACGGAGCAAATAGTGCTTACTTGTAAGTACAGCAAATAGCAGTTTCCTTGAGATCCTGTATGTCGTTATTATTCGATTCCGCGAGACCTCGTTCGAGTCCTGAAGGTGAGGTCGACCGTGATAATGAACGACATCCGGCAGTCGATGCCGCATACGGAATACCCCGCTCGAATTTAGCGGTGATATCGGACTGCGCAGATGGCGCAACTTCGGACCTATTGCGAGAAACAGCGGCCCGTTGGATAGATAGATAGGTAAGATCTACCACTTGGGTGGCAGTCCATACTACGAGCTGCCTGCTTGGCCAGTTTTTCTAACCATGTACTCGCGTTCAGCATTGCCAAAACTTGTTGCATCGGGAATGGAAGTTTATCCATCCAGTTTGTGAAAAAAAATCGCATTGTCCATCTAATGATCGGTCAGCAAAGAAAACATGTGACTCATTAGTTGTGATGGATTCTGGTCGCCTAGCCCAATTGAAGTGGAGAGTTCGCGCAGCATATTGTCAGCCGATATGGCTGCATGCTTGATTACCGCGTCTTTCGATTGTGAGAGAAGTTTTCCCTCTGGTATAAGACCGAGAGGATATTTGAACGGGACAACCACATCGAAAGGTAGCGATTGTATGACGAACGAGTACTTTGTGCGTCCGCTGTTAATGCGGCGTGTCAAAAAGATGGCTTCCATCCGAATAACCCAAACTCGAGAGTTGTTGGAAGCAAAAGGATTTAGCATCATGGAAACCGTATTAACGTCAGGAGAGCCCGTATGAGTATCCGTATCTTTGTTTCTGTCGACCATAGTACAAATGGAGGTGCTTATACAGAAGGAAAAACAGAGTCACCAGTATATATTGGCTATAGCAAAAATTGCCAAAATTGAAAGGTCGCGTTTAGCGCCAGTTGACCTGAAGCACTCTCTAAGCAAGCACACCACAAGGCCCCTTTAACTCGAAGGCGAATATGCCGTGAAAAGGCTTATTCATTTTAACAAACATGCATAAATAGAAACAAAGTCACTTGCAAAAATGAAACTGAACGTAAAGAATTGACGCGTTAGATCATGATATGTCCATATCCTAAATAATTCCGGACACAGTGAGGCCGTGACAGCCTATGCTCTATAGAGGCTGATGTTCGTCGCCAATAGCCGCAACAGAGCATTCGTGCCAAGAAAAGGAAGGGCGTAATGGGTAGCATCACTGAGCAAAGACCTAAATGCCAGTTTTTTGAGAACTCGGGCGCAGTATTGTGATCCGCTGTATCAAAATAACAAATAAGGTATAAGCTATTATTATTATAATAAAAACTGCATAGTATCTGCTTTATTTTCTGTATTTATTTCAAATAACACTTGGAGATGTGGATATCTGTGTCCTTCATCTACGTGAGATGGCCAACCTAGATTGTTGGACTGAGCAGTTATTGCGACCAAGAACCAAGTTTTCCGTGAATATCCTATAAAAGCAAAGTCTGATTATTTGCTTATAGCCTCTCTCCTGTTCAAAGTTGGCGTATTTCCTATTTTGAATCGCGCCCCCGGCCACCTATCCAGTAGCTTGCTGTACCTGAATCTACAGGAAGTGAAAATCATAGGATGCCTGTAGGACCTTGAAGGCGCCAATCAGAAATATAGGTGTTCGCGACTGTGGCCCTTTTGCGCCTGATCACCTTTATTTACAAAATGTTATCTAAGGATTATGAAAAAGTATGCTTCTTTGCCTTTTTTCAAATATATTCCTCCAAGGTTCCATTGTTTTTGCAGAAAAAGACCCTGGATTTGTTCTATCAGTGCAAAAATAAGTTGGCGCCCAAGGCCTGCACAGATGACGAGTTCGTGCAGACAATGCTATTACAGATTCAGAAATTTCCAAACCCATCGCAGTATGCTAAACGTTTTTAATATATTACTATAGAAGCATCGCGAACAATTCTACGGAATTCGTTTGTCCCGAATGCGATTTTGTTGCCGGATCTATGTCAGACATATCAGCCCACTTTGATTTGAAGCACTCAGTAGAAGCCAGCTTCTCATGTACATGTGGTTCTTCCTACGATCGAATGCCAGATTTTCTGAGGCACTACATTACGTGTCCTACAGCTGCGACAGATTTGCAGGATCCAAGTCATTCAAAAGCCTCAGACCCTCCTAAAGCCTTAAAAGCGGAAGCGGCTGGGAATGGGAACAGCCCGGAAAATACTGAGACCGATAGCACGAACTTTTTCTCCACCTACAGGCATCCTCCGGTTGTGCCCATTAAAGGTCCTTCAAACGAAAAGCCTTTCGGCTGTCCTCAATGTCCTAAGGGATTTAAAAGCAAATCGCTTTTAGAGCAACATATGCATTTGCATTATCCTCCGAGATACAAGTGTCGGTGGTGTGGAAAAGTTTACCGTTGGCCACCTGTCTATTATCACCACATGCGGATATGCAAAAAACTGCCTTCCTCAAAATCAAACCATCTTCCTCATCCAGAAGTGGACTCAACGCCAAAGGCTGAGGTTGCTGAAAGTAGTCCTCTGGAACAAGCTCATTCTACTCCCATTAGCCCTTCAACTCCCCC